TTAACTTTTGCTATAGTGTAAGAGTGGATGGTAAGTTGTGCTTCTAACTCTCTTTACATGCAGTGTTACCTGCATTAAAATCTGTGTTTTGTGAAGTGTTTAACAGATATTGGAGTTTTAAATCCTGTATGCAAGTTCTAAAATATTTTTGTTCTGAATTTAAATATAAATGCAACACATGCAGTAGCACATTCTTTGTGCCTTGTTCCAGTGTGAATTGCCTCTTGTGTTGGCTTCAGCTATTGATTTTGCTTTGTGGTTTTTAAAGCTCATTAATCTGAGAGAGGGGAAAATCAAGGCTAGACACGAGGAACATTGCTCCTGGAAATCCAAACTTTCCTGTTTTTCAGGAATGGGCGTCAGTTAGGAACAGGCCAAGCCAGAGCCAAGCAGGCAAAGCCGGCCAAGACTCCACTGCTGGAGAACTGGGCAGGAAAATAGCATTGATTGCTCTGATTACAAAGGAAGAACAGAAGCTCTGTGCCATTTAAAATGGAAAAACAGACATTTGTGTCTTACAGAATGAGCAAATGTTTGCAGGGTTTTACTAATTATTAAAAATGTTTGCATAGATAAAATACTATTAGCCATATTAGCATTTAGGACTATGTGTTATCTGACATAATGTGCATGTGAAATATGAAAGATCAATTTATTCACGTGGAGAATGCCTCAGTAAACCCAGAATACATATTAAGGTGCCATATAATTCTTTCTCTAATGGAGAAGCAGCAACAGCGTTGTCTGGATTGTGACGAACACAATGTTCTCAACTTACTGAAGCGTTCTGAAGTTACAGGAAGTGCTGCAACTCATAAATTCATAAATGCCTCATCCCCTCCCCCAAGAAAACACAGCTTGATAGCACTCCTGTTCGCTCACTGCCTCGGTGACCTTTTCTGCTGCACATCTGCTGTGAACAGATTCACCTCCTGCACTGAAGCCGACGAGCAAGTTCATCTGCGTTTTTCAAATAACACCGCAGAATCATTTCTCTAGGTTGTCTAAATCGGGACATGTTTTTCTGCATTCCGTCCCCGGTATGCAGTTGGGATCGTCCTCATAAAAGCAGTGTGTGAAGCTAACTATCCTGTCTCACCTGTGGAGGCACATGATCTGTCACGATCACAGCAACGTAGCGCTTAACCCCGTGATGATCTCAGCAGTGACAGAACAGCACGATCACTGAACTCGCACTGCTTCTCTCATGCACATCTGTCTGGGCTGAAATGTAGCAGTATCCCACCTGGCTAATTTTGCTCTGGGCATCCCGCAGGCGTTGTTCCCACTGGCCGCGCTCCTGGTTGAAGCGCTCCAGGAGCTCCACCTTCTCGCGGCTCCAGTTCTTCTCGCTGATCTGCAGCTGCTTGGTGAGGTCCATGACGGCCGCGTAGGAGTCGGCCAGGAGGTGCTGGTGCTCCTCCCTCTCCTTCTTCAGGGCGGCTTTCAGGTCCGGCAGTTCCTTGTCCAGCCCCGGCTTGCCTGCCTTGCACTCCAGCTGCCAGGGGCAGAGCAAGGACAGGTCTCAGACACGGAAGTTCTGGTCTTCCCATTGTGAGCTGACCGCCTACTCCAAAGCAATGAACGAGACGGGCAGCCCGCCCCTGTGAAAACCCAAGCCCCGCTAAAATAACTATCCAGCTCCCCGCTGTAAAAATTCAGCCCCTGCAATAATGACTATCCAGGGCTATGCCTAAGGAATGGTATTTCTGCTCATATCAGTCTGATTACACATAGATATAGTTGCTTACTGTTTTTGTGCAGTCAACTATAATTTCTTAGTTAGTAAAAACCTTTCACGGTGTGCATCTTTGTTCAATGTAGAGGCCTAGGGATAAATAAAGGTATTTAGTATGGTTAAAAAATGCCAGCCATGAGTTGGCTTGTTATAGATTTGCTATTCAATTCTATACTTTTTTTTAGGGCAGTACTATGATATGGCATTATATTCCTTGATTAAGGAGTACTTTTCAGTGCACACATTAGCCTATTGCAGCGGTTCTCCGTATTTTCTACTTCTACTTCCCACTCCCAAAAACCCAATAAGGGCTTTCGTTCCTTTTCCACATTCCCTATGCCGGTGGAAAGGTCCCCAGCTGGGTTTGCTACTTTGAGAGAAATCCCAGGAGGTCTCTGAGGACAGGGGCAAGAGCTAGAGAGGTTCAAGCTGGGCTGCGCTGACTGTGTCTTACTCACTGAGGCAGGAAGTTGACTTTTTCCATGAAACACAGGGCTAGTCATCACTGGAGACCCAGGCCCGGCAGATGAGTTCCGGATGAGCTACGGGCACGGGGGATGTGTGGGATTTTTTTAGGACTGGTTGTTGAAAGACACTTTCCCACTGGCAATGGAAAGTGTAACAATTGTTTTTTTTCCTTTGGTGGCTCAGGGAATGTTTTGGCATAACTAATACTTTTGTCTCTGGATGCAGGAAACTGTTAATTGCTTGCACTAGATGCAGACGGCACAATGCCATCTCCTGCAAGCAATTACAACCATCAGCGTTCGTTAAGCTGAGCTACAAAGGAGCTTGTTAAATCATTTTTGCAAGACTGTTGTTTGTTAAATACACAGCTGTCATGAAGATCCTTGCATTACAACAACAGCTTAAAGGAAAAAGGGCACATTCTAAGGTTTTATATCTTCTTTTGATAAGCAGTGGTTCTTCTAGAGTTTTTTCTTTACTTCTTATCTAACCTTTTTACCACTTTGCATTTATAAAAAATCTTCCTTCCACTATCCATCGAAATGCACTGGGCAGTAAGTGCCATAAAAGAATGCTGAAAATACGGCCCACACAGTCTGGAAGTATACATTTCTTTGAAATGATGCATCATCCTGTTAAAGCCATTTATGTGAGGGAAACGTCTTCAGAAGTGTCCTTTTACAAGGCAGCCCTGGCTGTGATGATGGAAATGCAGCATTTCTCTTTAGATTGCCTGCATGATCTCACTTTTGTCAGAAACTAATCCCCTTCAGAGCGGCAATTAAGCCAAAGCCATTAGAGCAAGCACCGGCACATTGAAAATCGACAAGAAGTTTTAGAAAGCAGATACAGAAAACATTGACATACTAAAGCCCCTGATGCAAGCGATGCAGGCACCACTAAAAACTACAGCACTCTGACTCTGGAGAACACATGATTCACAAAGGTCAAAGGGTAGGTCTTGATCTCAGTACACCATGTAAGCCCTTGTAATTGACTGGCCTAGGACAGGGGTGGGCAGTCCTGGTGCTGGAGAGCAGGTGTGGCTGTAGGATTCTTGGCCCGCATCCTAGGAGCTGGGAGAAGCTGTTAAATTGGTCATTAAGAGCCGAGCTGAAATGAAAGCCTGTAGACTCCACACTAAGCCGGTGGTGCAGACTCACCTGTGTGATGTGGCATTTGAGCTCAGATCTCTCCACCTCCCATGCGGCTTTGGCTTTGGCAAACTGCTGGGTGAGTTCCTCCGAGCCACGCCTCTCCTCCTGCAGCTCTGTGCTAAGGTCCCTCAACGCCTCCTTCAGGTCTGCCAAGGCACCGTCCAGCCCACTTGACTGCAAGGACAAGGGCACTTCACCATACATGTTCACACCAATTAACATTCATGAAAGTTGATGAAGGCATATTATTCTTATGGTTCGGAGGCCACTGATAATAGCCTTGCACAAGGCCACGAATTTAATTCCCAAGAGGCTTCCAGCACAACCACTGCTCTCCTGGTACCTGCTTGTAGTTTTTCTCAGAGAGGTTGTCTGCTCTTGCTGTTGGACTCTGGGATTGATCTTCTGTTTTGTTGTCAAGCTGGTGAGCAGTTAGCCCCTCTTCCTCAATGAGCATGTAAAGATCTTTCACGCTGTTCACCTACAAAAGTCATACAGGACTCCAGTTACTTTCCACGGTACTGAGTAAGACTTAAGACCATGACACTTGTACTGACAGAACACAGAAAAACAGGGTCATGTTCAATCGTTTTTTGTGTTTGCATTAAGATAGATTTGTGTTTTGAGCTTCTCACTGGGCTTCTCAGTCTTTCTTTAGAATTTCATAACTTTTTGCAAGCTAAAATCATAGGCACAGAGCAGTGTTTAATCCAAATTATATACAAAAACATAAAAACATTCAGGTTGATCAATGCTAACTTGAAAATTACATACAGAAAACATGGAAGTGAATGAGGTGAAACTCCACAACAGTAGGAATGAGAGAATGGATCAGTTACGGTTCTCACCTCAAGGATGTCTTTTCCCTCGCTGTCCAGCTTTTTGCCTAGCCTCCACTGTTTGAGGAACCACCTGAGTTTAAGATTGAGAAGAAGTAGGTTCTGCTTCAGCTGCTGAGACTCTTGAATCATGAGGTTTCTCTCCTGGCTCCAGAATTTCTGCTGCAGACGGGTCTGCAGATTCAGGCTCTGTAGCTCAAAATCTCGTCGGATCAAAGCTTTCTGGTGCTCCTCTTTTAGCTGGTTAATGAGGAAGTAGAAGACCATATATGAATTTCAAAACTCATACAACTTCAGGTAAATTTCCATAGAAACGTTTGTGTGCAACCATATTTTTTCAGCTTAATGTTGCTCCCTGAACATTTAGAGGAGAAGAAACAGTGAATTGATGGCAGTATTTTATTTTGTTCTATACTGCTTAGCTGAGATGAGATGTAAAGAATTGCTTTTCGTTGTGATGTTGAAATAGCTATAAACCATTTCAGCGCTGCTTTGAAGCACTGGGATTGTGCAAATAGGATCATTCCCAAACCATGCATATCTTCTATTGAGCTATGAACCCAACTATGAACTACGGCCTACAAATTTTACTGGGAAATGGCATTATTATCCCAAAACATTATCTTCATGGGTTTATGTATCCGAAATTCTGAACAGAACAGAAACGAGACTCAGAGGTTTTTTTTCCCCAAGAATGTCTGGTTGGCAGGACTGAGCTGTGCGGCATGCCTACTTGAGCAAGCTTCTGGGAGCAGCTCTCCGTCTCCTGCCTGTGAGCTTCTTGCTCCTGGGACAGCTGTTCCTGGAATCCCCGGATGCCCTCCTTTGCTTCCGAGAGAAGACTCTGAAGCTCCCTGATCTTGGCTGCATGCTGCAGGACAACACGGAGCAAAGCCAGGGAATTCGTTAATTAACAGGCCGCCGCTTCAAAGACACGCTTCTTCCTTGCAGTTTTGATGTACTATTGTAGTCATTCAACCCTATTAGTGTTTGCTCTCCCCTGTGAGATGTCTGTGCATTCTAATGAGCACACCCGCTGTCTGACACATGCGGGGGCTTTCCGTTTTAACATATTAACATGTTTAACATGTTTTTCCGTAAAAACATATTAAAGCAAATTAAAGGGGGATTTTAAAACTGAAAGTTAGAGAAAGGAGCTGGAGTATCTGGGAAAATCTGCTCATTAATGCCATCATTGGGTACCCTCTTTGAACTTTACCTAGGTTTAAATGCATCACCTAGGGCAGTTGGCTTTATGCACGTTTTCTAGGCAAAATTACAATGTGCTCCATCAACAGTGGCGACAGGGAATTTTTAACTAATTGAGCGGTTCATGCTTCATTGGGAAAAAAAACATCATAAAGCTTTCGATTTTTTTGACCCCCCTGTCCATTAGAGTTACAAATGTGAAACACCGTGCCAGAATGTCTGTACAAGATGTACATATTCCAAAGATCAATTGTTTGAAGGCCACTCGACAGTTAATGTCATCCCCCCACAGTACCAAATTCACCTAAAGCCATGCATTGTCCCTAAAGGCAGAGAGTGTCACACCATTACACTGTCATGACTCAGCTCCAATGGGCTTTTGAAGTAGCTCTTGATTCTCAGCATTATGGAAAGACTTTACAGTAACAATAGCCCAGCTGGGTTCTACGCCACAAAGGGTGAAGCTGAGGTCAGGATAACTATGAAGTGTTTGATGCCTCATCCCACCTACTTCTGGCAAGCTAGCCAGTCTATCTGAAGTAGCACCATTCTGTTCGCAGGGGACTGTTTAGCATTTGCTTTCTAGCCACTAATCACCTTTGCTGCAATTCAAAGCCTGTGCTGCATTGGGAAAGGCAATTAGTTCTTAACTAGAGAAGAGCTAGGATCACCTATTTGGAGTCTATTTTATTTCATTATTTTGAAATGCAGTAGGGTTAATATTTTAGTTGAATTAGTTTGTGTGGATTCTGGAATTGGGAAAATATACTTCCACCTCCTGAATCGGCTGTTTTACTGTGCTTTAATAAGGGTGGCTTTTACAAAAATCTCGTAAGAATCCCCAGATTAACTTGTTTATCAAGGACTTTCTGTATCACAACTGCTTGCTGAAAAATCCGAAAAAAAAAAACAGCTGCAGAGTCTCCCCCATGAACAACTGGAACATCTGTCCTGCAAAAGTCCGACACTTTGGATGGGACCGTATCACTCATGACTCACGAATTCAGCTTTGCCGTTTGAGCTTGTGGTGTCCTGTTTCTGTCTCTTTCGTCATTGCGGTCTACAAAAGCCGCGCATGTTTATAAACCCGGGCCTTAGTTTGTAATGGCACATTGGTGGGTGGAGATTGGGTAGGGAGTACCTTGATGATGTCCGACTCCTTGTCGTCTGGCGTGTAGTTCTCGAGGTCCTTGTTGCTGTCTCTGTTCTCGTTGTCCTCAGCACCGCTCAGGTGCGCCTCTAA